GGCCAGCGCTGGGCCTTGGCCGCCCCGCTCCTTGCTTGTGGGGCTTTTTTGTCTAAAAGGAGACTTTGTTCCCGGGGTGGGGGGGCAGCCACAGCCCACAAAGACACGTTTCTGTAACCACTCACGCGTTCTTGGAACTGCTGCCTTTTAAACGCGGGAGAACCAGGGGATAAAATCTTTGCTTTTAGGGTAAAAGAATCAGTGCTTGCCCATGTCTGGGTCAGGCCAATATGTGACGGGGCAGGCAGACCCAAGGCAGCCTTGTGCGTAGAGGAGATCGGACCGCTCCTGCTTGCTTCTCTGAGGCAGTTCTGGCAAGACAGTGAGCCTTTTGTGTAGCTTCCTCTGAGGTTTCTTGTTACTCTTTCTTCCTTACTTAGGGCAAGGAGGTCACGCCTACCTGCAAGAATGGCTTTGGTGGGCAGGGCTGCTGTGCAGTAAGTACCCGCTCTGAAACCCTAGCAAGACACACTTAAGAGTGTGTCATTGTTTCCAGTTGCTTTTGTGTTTTATTATTATGATGGTTGTTTGACTGCTTGATTTTTATCTCAGTGTCTGAGGATGTTGTTAATCTAATTATAACTCTAAAATATTCTAAAGTCTCATGCATTACCATCTTCCTCTGCTAAATAGGAGTTGAGGAGCTGTCTAACTGGGTTGGGTTAAGTGCTTCTGAAACAGCCTGCCCAGACAATGTAGTTAAAACAGCACATCCAGCACCATGGGTTCAGTGCTACAGCAATTTAAGCAGCTCTGTTTTACACTCTTTGATGTTAATAACCAATTGTACTTGATTTACCCTTTAAAAAGCTGTAAAATCTGCTCCAGGAGAAGAACATGACTTAGAAATACGAAATGGGTCAAAACTCCATTAAGCTTTGAGGACATTATGGAAATATTTTTCTGTGGTTACTGCTCAGCTGCATAGCCACGTATGACTTAAAGATCACCATGTGTAACCATGAACCTTCTCTTCCCAAGAGAACCTATATCAGCTTCTGCTTGTTCTTTCTGGTGCTGTTCCTTCCCGGTTGCACAACATACCTCAGAGAAACATGGGATGCTCGGGTGGAAACTGAGGCTCTCTTCTGACTGCACTCAAACTTGTATTATGCTGAATTGCTCCTACTTTGATACTCGCCTGACAGAGTTTGTCTTGCAGTGGGTGTTGGAGAAGCAGCAAATTTTGCTGCCTATGCCTTTGCCCCTGCAACGCTGGTAACTCCACTGGGTGCTCTAAGTGTCCTTGTTAGGTAAGCAGCCTCAGAAACACCCTTACTTCACCTAACACCCCTTAGCAGGGAAAGCAATTCCTCTGCTTTCCTCTGTCTCTTCCCTCAGGTACTCCATCCCTTGGCATAATTGGTTTGGGGTTTTTTTGCTGTCTTTCAGTGCAGTTCTGTCTTCCACCTTCCTGAATGAGCAGCTGAATGTTCATGGGAAGATTGGCTGCATCCTGAGTATCCTGGGCTCCACGGTGATGGTGATCCATGCTCCGCAGGAAGAAGAGGTTTCCAGCCTGGAGTCAATGGCAGAGAAGCTGAAAGATCCAGGTGCTTAAATAAAAGGGGTCCTGTCAACTTCAGGCTTGGAAATGACAGTAGAAGGTAGGATACAACTTGGCTAGATTGGGAAGGACTGAACGAAATGGTAATTGAGCTGTTTCTTGTTCTGTGCACCAGTGGAGGAAACATTCCCCTGTGTCCAGGATAGCTTGTGGGTTGTCTTCTGTGGTGGGAAAAGACTGGGGTCTCCACACTCTAATATGAAAGATTGGTGACAGTCAAACAGCATTTAATGCACGTGCTCAGAGGATTTACATCTTATTAACTAGCTCAAAACATAGGGAGACATGTCAGCTTCAGAATGGCTTTTTAGGACTGTCAAGTCCTCTTCACCCCAGATGAAGGAAGCAGATGGGAATCCCACTTTGCAGAGTCTGGGTGATGCTCCCAAGTCACTGGGTCTGTGCCAAAGCAAGGATGAGAACTTGGGTCATTAACAGTTACCAAGTGTGCTTTTTTTGTACTATCTGTAAGGTATAGGCGCAAAAATTGAAGATCATGGGAATTAGCTGCAGCTGTCAGCAGAAGGAGTTCATGAATGCTTTGGTTGGAAGAGACCTTTAGAGATCATGTAGCCCAACCCCCCTGCAGTGAGCAGGGACATCTTTAACTAGATCAGGTTGCTCAGAGCCCCATCCAACCTGACCTTCAATGTTTCTAGGGATGGGGCCTCCACTACCTCTCTGGGCAACCTGTTCCAGTGCTTCACCACTCTCATTGTAAAAAATTGCTTCCTTATATCCAGTCTAAATCTATTCTTCTTTAGTTTAAAACCATTACTCCTTGTCCTGTCACAACAGGCCTTGCTAAAAAGATTGTTCCCATCTTTCCTGTAGGCCCCCTTTAAGTACTGGAAGGCCACAATGAGGTCTCCCCGCAGCCTTCTCTTCTCGAGGCTGAACAACCCCAACTCTCTCAGCCTGTCCTTGTAGGAGAGGGGCTCCAGCCCTTGGATCATTTTTGTGGCCCTCCTCTGGACCCACTCCAACAGGTCCATGTCCTTCTTATGTTGAGGGCTCCAGAGCTGGACGCAGTGCTCTAGGTGAGGTCTCACTGGGGCAGAATCACCTCCCTCGACCTGCTGGCCACGCTGCTTTTGATGCAGCCCAGGATACGGTTGGCTTTCTGGGCTGCAAGTGCACATTGCTGGCTCATGTCCAGCTTTTCATCCAGCAGTACCCCCAAGTCCTTCTCCGCAGGGCTGCTCTCAATCCCTTCATCCCCCAGCCTGTATTGATATTGGGGGTTGCCCCATCCCAGGTGCAGGACCTTGCACTTGGCCTTGTTGAATTTCATGAGGTTGTCCAGGTTCTCCAGCTTGTCCAGGTCCCTCTCGATGACATCTTGTCCTTCTGGCATGTCAGCTGCACCACTCAGCTTGGTGTCATCTGAAAACTTGCTGAGGGTGCACTCAATCCCCCTGTTTATGTCATTGATGAAGATGTTAAACAGCACTGGTCCCAGTATGGACCCCTGAGGGACACCAGTTGTCACTGGTCTCCATCTGGACATCAAGCCGTTGATCACTACCCTCCGGATGCAACCATCCAGCCACTTCCTTATCCACTGAACAGTCCACCCATCAAATCTGTATCTCCCCAATTTAGAGAGAAGGATGTTGTGGGAGACCATGTCAAAGGCTTTACAGAAGTCCAGATAGATGACATCCGTTGCTTTTCCCTTGTCCACTGATGCTGTCACTCCTTCATAGAAAGCCATTAGGTTGGTCAGGCAGGACTTGCCCTTGGTGACTCCGTGCTGGCTGTCTTGAATCACCTCCCTTGTCCTGAGTTGGCCTGTGGCAGTGCTGGGATAGGAGAGGGAATTCCTGTACAGGAGAGTGGCAGTGGTATGGCTGAGGGAAGACAGAGGAGGAACTTCAGGCAAAGATGAATGACTGATTCAAGGAGTTATGCCCAAGATAGAGTAGTCCTAGTATTTATGTTAGAGGATGAATCAAGGTGCAAGAATATGATTTGGGCAATAGTATGAATGGTAGAATAAGCCACCAGAGATGGAGGAAGGAAGCACAGGGAGAAGAGAAAAGCAGAGTAACAAGTAGATGCTGCTGCTCATTAGAGAGAGCACTCTGGCAGGGCCTCGCACTCCTGTGATGTGGTGCTTTCCTCTTTATCCCACCACAGCCCACCGAGTTCAGCTAGGATTTCCCAAGCCTTCCGCCACCCTCCTGGGCCTCCTGCAGAGCTGTGCCCCCTTTTTTTCCTGGCCAACAAGCCCCCACCTCTGCTAGTGCCACAGAGCCTGGCTGTGCCTCTACCCCTTCCAGCATGGGCGGCTGTATGCCCTGACAGGCTGACTTGTGGGGCTGTGCTATGATCAGCACTGTAAAGAGCTGTTGTCTCTGCAACTTTGCTCAGGCTGGAGACCAACTCTGCTTCCCAAACCTGGTCCCTACAGGTGGAGGCTAAAAAGACAGACTGATGGGGCAGTTACCCACCTGTCCTCCATCTGTACTTGCTGTTCAGTTACATCTGTCACTGGTGCTTACTGTTCTCTGATAGAGCTCTTTAATTCTTCTTTCCCCAAGGATTCATTGTATTTGCTGTGTGTGTCCTGGTGAGCTCCCTTCTGCTTATCTTTGTGGCTGGACCCCGTTACGGACAGAGCAACGTCCTGGTTTATGTTTTGGTCTGCTCTGCCATTGGCTCGCTTTCTGTGTCCTGTGTCAAAGGCTTGGGGATTGCCCTGAAAGAACTGTTTTCTGGGAAGCCAGTCCTGAAAGAACCACTGGGCTGGGTGCTCCTGGTATGCTTGGTGATCTGCATCAGCGTCCAGATCAACTATCTGAACAAAGCCCTGGACATCTTCAACACATCTGTGGTCACACCTGTCTACTACGTGCTGTTCACCACAGCAGTCATGATGTGCTCTGCCATTCTCTTCAAGGAGTGGCAACACATGGTGCTAGACAACATCATCGGTACCATCAGCGGCTTCCTCACCATCGTGTCTGGCATTTTCCTCCTGCATGCCTTCAGGGACATGCCCTTCACCCCTGACCTCCTGCCCCTCTTCCTGCAGCAAGGCAGGGCAGACCTTCATGCCTCGTGGAGGAGTGCAGACAGGCATCAGTCATGTCAGCACCAGCCTCTTCTGCCCTCAGAGGACAAAGGCTCTCAGAGTGCAGAGGAGGAAGGCGAAAGCGTGTGAGGAAGCCTCTGAACTGCTAGCTTTCTGCTCCCACTGCTGAGCAGCTCCACTGCAAGGCTGAACATGCTGCCTTAGCTGCTGCTAGCTACCGCTGCGCTAGCAGGAGTTGGCAGTTACTGTCTACCTGCCCCAGGCACCAGGTGGGTGACCTGCCACTGCCAGGAGGCTGACAGGGACAGCAGCCTCCTGTGGCTAGACAGGAGTCCTGGGAACTGCCCAGTTCCTGGGATCTGGTGCCTCTTCACTGTTCTTTTACATGAAGAATTGATCCACCCTCATCAGGACACAGGCTTCGTCTGCACAGAGGCCTGCTGCACTAATACAGTGCTAACCCTTACTGAATGCAAAGACCACGCATTTGGGGAGGCCTTGCAGCATTTTTTAAAAACATACTTAGAAGATTAACAGTTACAAAGTAATCTAACATGGTGCTAAGATTACATGGAGAGAAGATGGATGTCTGGCTTTAAAGATGACATACCCAGAATATTAATTCAAAAATTCCTCTGTCAAGTACTTGTTTTGCTTACTCTGCTAGAATTTATTTACAGATTCACATCCAAGAACAGAATACAGCCAAAACTAGAAAACTTCAGTGGTGCTGCCACGTGCTGCTGTGGCTCTTATGGAGGGACCAACCTCTTCACATCTGCTGTGCAGGTTGATGAAGCACCTGCTTACTGTATTCTATTAAAGACTGATTTGTTCAGTTAATGAGTGGCTAGTGATACATTTGTACCGAGGTGGGACAGTGCTGAAAGGCGTGAAGTATTACAGGGGTAGGAAGAATGGTGCGGATGCTCAAGAGAAACTCAAGATAGGGATAGGGGAGGGAGTCGCTTACTGTGGGAACAGGAGTGACCTAAGAGTCCTTAGCTATTGAGGTAAGTTTCTGAAAGATAACTAGACAGCTATGTCCTCACTTATGTGGGTTTACATCTGCATAGCTCCGTTTAACACATGCTGAATTTGTGACCAGAAAGGCTGCTGGCTACAAGCCACCCGTGTTAGGAACTCACACACCCTGTCCAGCCACCCACAGCAAATGGATGTGTGCACAACTGCTTTACCAGGGTCCTGTGCAGAGCTTCAAGCCACTGCCAGTGGGTCACTCCAGGCTTCCCAGAGCCATGCTGCACATAAGCACTGCTGAAATGCTCTGCTGCCTTTCCAGAGGGCAGATCAGTATTTTTGTTGTTTTTTACAGTTAGAAGCGCCTCTCTGTGTCCTGGGGGCAGATGTCCAGAAGACACAGCCATAAGCCTCTCTCCAGTGATCTCCACAGGTGAAGGTGCACAAGGTTATAAAGTAACCGGTTATTTATTTCATGCATTTAGTCTCTGTAAAGAAACTACTCCTCTACAGGACAGCAAGAGCTGTTAACCCTTTGGGGAAGAGGAAGAAAGGCCACAGCCTCTCCCAGAAACAAGTTTGATTCATGGGACCAAATTAATTGAGCAACAAATCAGAATTCAGAGCAGACCTTCTAGCCAGAAGACAATTATGTCTCCTCCCTACTAATTTTGCAATAAACAGGATCACTGGGAAGGAGGGAGAGTGACAAGGCAGCCAGATTTTCAATTGTCAGTGGTCATCTACCTGAACAAAGGAGAATCTCGTGTTAAAAATTGACCCAGTTCATATTTATTACATTGTCGAGGGGAAAGCAGTTAATGGAGCAAGTCAGTATCGACAGAGTTGTGCTGCAATTTGAAAGTTTGTCACTTGGCCACGTGAATAATTTACCTATGGAAGCCTGAAAGTATTTTCCAGTAGCGACACTGCCTGGGATGATCACTGTGCCCAACAAGCTTTTCTCACTAAGGGCAGCTGTACCAGACTGCACAGCAGTGGCACCTGCAGGACTTGTTAGCATCTACCCAGGAGCGTTCATTTGGGGCAGCACTGTTTAAGGCAGCGGTCACAAGCTGGCCTCACCCAGAGCCGAGATTCACATCAGCACTGGGAGCACCCCCTGATGCAAGCATCACCACCCCTCCGTTCAGTTGAGCGGGTGCATTCTAAACGCTCCCTGCATAGCATCAAGTAGCCCTGGAGTCCCAGCACAACGATGGCTGCTGGCCCGTGGTGCCGGGAGCAGCACGTCGCCCCGAGGAGGAGCAACTGTGCCTCTGTCGTGGGCTCTCATCTGGCTGCAACTTTCCCCGAGACTGGCATTTAATTAAATCGTAAACCCCAGAGCTGATCCTGGCTCATTCAGGCGGCAGAGTGACCGGGAGCTGGCACGGCGGAGGGCTCAGCCTCGTGGGGGGCTGGCCAGCGTCCCCCAGGGCACAGGTCCCACTCAGTCGGACAGGCTCTCCGAGAAACGGTCTTAGACGTCTGCGTCTGCTCCAGCCGGTTCAGGATGAACTGGCTGGTGTCAATGAAGCGTTCCACGCAGTTCACGAAGCACGTCTCGGCCCGGCTGTCCAGCTTCGGACCCGGCTTGTCCATGCACTTCTCCTGCACACAGC